CATCAACGTAATTGGCTGACGCTGTGTTGATGTACCTGCGCCGTTGTCGTTGGTATAAATTTTTGGCGGCAAAGTTTATAAATAAATAAATAAATAAAGCATTTGTATATAAGATTTCAAGAAGAATGGATTTAGTTTAGATTTTCAACTGCTAAAATTGGCATGTATATCATTACCATAACAATGAATATTTTTTCCTCAAATTTATTCTGTATCTTATGAAAAATAATGCAATTTTGAGAATGCGAGAAATGGCGTCACATAGAATTATCTAAGGTCCAAAGAGAAATATCTGATAAAAAATCATGTCTTTGATGTACTTTATAATCCTCGGAATTCTTCAAAATTTCATCCCCAAAATGCTTCAAATCGCATTTCCGGGACTCTACATTTCAAATTTTCTACGGAAGAGCCCCAACTGGTCTCACGCCATTGCCGTTCCCCCCCCCCCCCCCCCCCCCCAAAACTAGTGACTTTGTGACAAACTAGTCAGTAGGAAATAGAAGTAAGAAGCCGAATTTGAATGACATCATTTATATTTTTTCCAATTTGAAAATTAAAAGCCATCATTCACATTATTATTTTGCAACCCTGTCCGTCGCCTAATTTAGATAACATGCCGATGATTTAGAATAAAGAGGTTTTTTTAAATCATTTGAATTCGGTCTCCCATGGAGAGATGTTGTAAATATACAGACAGCTTGTCTGCTATAAGCAATTGAACACTTTAATCTATTGCCAAAACCATTTTTAAATTAATTGATAATTTTCCGTAATTTGGAGAAAAAAGATATTCGCTATCACGTATGTTGTGTTTTTTTTCCAATAATTGTATTTTGCTTAATGTAGATATTTTGATACGATTGCAATAAACCAGCCTTGTAGGACCTAGTTAACATCTACGTTTCTCACGAATTACGAAAATAAATGTTGACGAATTTAAACTGTTACAACTATCTACGTGAAATAGGGTGTGTTTGTACCACAATGGCAAGTGCCTTTTATTTGTACATTCTTCTACCTCTGCCGTAAGAGTTCTTTCAGAGTCCCTGACTCAACCAAACACAATGGACCTCCAAATTCAATTTAGAACTGATAGAGCTACTGTATGCGTATCAGAACTATAAAGTTAGTTTAGTTTTCATTTCCTACTGTTCTAATACTGAACCATTATCGGTGAGAAAAGCAGTTTAGCACTGAAAGAGCTAGCAATCCATTATCAATATCGATATTAACCGTGAACTTAGGTTAGTTTAGGTTTCCTTACGTTCACTTATAATATCGGTACTATGTTTGTTGGTCGAGCGGAATCGTAAAAAGTTGAGTTTCAAGTCGCAGAATCGTAAGCAGTGGCGTAGTGACGACTACTCCTAATTCCCCCTCCCCTCCCCCCAATCGCCACAAAAGTGCAACATTCCGATCTAAGTGCAACATTCCGATCAAAATGAAATTGGGTTTTCCTCCCAGCAATCATAGAGGGGAAAAAAGGTGACACGGATCCATCCTCCAGTTTTCCAAGGTGACTTTTCCAATTGTTTAATTTCCGAAAACAAATGTCTGGGACAATGTACTTCTCCTAAATGTCACCCCAAACTGCTTGAAATCGCGTTTCAGGGACTCCAGATTTCAAACTTTTTCCGGGGGAGCATGCCCGGAACATGCATGAGCCATGCCTTTGGTTTTCGTTTCGCTTTTCCGTTTTTATTTTATTTTCCGTTTCGGTTTTCGTTTCGCTTTTTCGTTTTTATTTCCAAAAATATGGCCTTGTCTACGCGACTGCTGATTAGCTTTAATTCATGTATTGTCACACGTTGCCAGTTAATTATAAGCCAATAAATGGAATATTTCGATTGCTTATCGCGATCGTGATCAATTTGTATCTAATACCTTATTAATATTATATTATTAGTGTAGGTCGTAGAGTATTCCAATTGCTGTAGTTTGCTGCACTTTTATATTAATCAAATCTACGCCGAACCTGTTTCACACAAGTTTCATGTCCGCCACGTTCCTCCAAACAGACCCTGTTCAGATCTTGTCATGTGCATGACATCCCAGATTTTGGGATGTAGCGTAATTTGACGTTAGCGTGGATTACGTGGAGCAGAGTTATTACCTGCAGTCATTTCTAAAAATAATAGAACTTGTCAATTTAGTTAATATCACATTTGGCCGTTTTTCAAGTTCTATATTTGAAGTTCGGCATTCCGAAAAACCGCGTTATAGCCTATGTGGTTCACGAAGGTTTACGGCATTTAGACTCGTCGACAGTCTGTTTCTAAATATATGTGATCGCATACAAACTACATTTTGATTTAAACTGCGTGTGTTTCAAGCGTTCTCCGTATATATATATAGCTCAGATCGATCAAGTGTGTTTGTCAAAATTAAATGCGAGATTAAATGGATACATTTAGTGAATTATTTGCTAAAAGAGCCATAACTCTCACTATATAAATTAAAAATATGATGACGATGACCAACTCTATTTAACCACGCTAACATTGTCAGCTAAAGGTGATTTGCACAATGGAATTAGCATGCAAATATATATACACTATTTACAGAAATGATGTGCTTTAAAAACGATGGGTAGCGATTTTCCTTTCAAAACTTGATAGCATTTTGCTTTCTCTCATGTTTTCTCGTAAACTCTTTTTTCAAACTATTCGAACGTGACTTTGGTAAACGTATGGTGCTCGAGCTGTCACAAAGATTGTGGTTTGATACTTCCTTTTTGAAAGCAAATTCTTAAAGACAAGTTGGCCCCATATTGTGAAGTATTTTAATTAAACATCACTTTCGCTTTAACTTTCTTTCTTTGACTTTGTGTTTTGAGTGTTTCCTATGCTGATAAATTCACCAGTTCGCCCAAGATCATTAGGCACACTTGCTACATGCAGTGAAACGGGACGTGTTTGTATAATAACAACTTGACACGTCGTTTACTTTTCCGTATAATAAATGTTCGCATATTATATAATTTTAGTATACGCGTTCCTCAATTCATATAGATTTTTAACAAATTTGCATTCTGTCATTGGTATAGCAAATATAGGCATATGTCAATCCGAAATTCAAATTATTTATATGTTCGTTTTGTTATGGCTCTAATGTCTTCATATACAAAGTGTTCAGAACGATTCTTCGCTTCAACATGGCGCGACAGCGGGTGTGCTGGTGATTTCGTACGTGTTGATCTTGAGGCGTTTGTTTTTCTAATATCAGTGGATAACGTGGATACCAGACCGCTGCTGGCAACACCAGTATTGTGAGTATCAGCCGGAGAAGGCACGAAGGAGAATTAGAAGGCCTGTGCGCGTGATGATTAAAATAATCGACTAACGTCCTTATATAGGCCTATATACATGCTGTCTGGCCTTTATCAATACACTATCACAATTTTCCCTGACAAGTCTGGTCTAGTTAGCTTTCTCATATTTATTTTATTCAAAAATCTTCATTATGCTTAATTAAACATACCTGTTGAGCAGCACTTGGTATGATTCAGTTTATCCAAGAAATTCGAACTGAACGCAACTGCAGTTAGTGAACAAAAGTATTCTTTGTCCAAGTAATTATAAATTAAAGTGTCCCTTATCACAACCCGCACACCTGATTACCTATATATACATGAACTTACGGTTACAGCTTAACAGCTGGCCTCTGTAGCTCAGTTGGTTAGAGCGCTGCACTGGAATCGCAGGGCCGTAGGTTCGATTCCTACCAGAGGACCTTGTGCTGCATTTTTCGCAGTCGTTCCTGGTTAGGCCTTAAAATGTATATATTCTCACTTGGATTCCAAACCCTAACATTCTAATATTAATTCCACCAAGTGAAGTGCAGAATCTAAGTCATGAAGTCCACCTTATCACAACCCGCACACCCGATTACCTATATATACATGAACTTACGGTTGCAGCGCAACAGCTGGCCTCTGTAGCTCAGTTGGTTAGAGCGCTGCACCGGAATCGCAGGGCCGTAGGTTCAATTCCTACCAGAGGACCTTGTGCTGCATTTTTCGCAGTCGTTCCTGGTTAGGTCTTAAAATGTATATATTCTCACTTGGATTCCAAACCCTAACAATCTAATATAGTGTCCCTATATGTCGTTTGTCGTGGGTTAAAAGTCGTGGGTAATGTCGTGGGTCATAAAATGTGCTAAAAACGAAAATATTATAATAATAATAATTTAATAATTTTTCACGAAAATATTATAATAATAATAATTTAATAATTTATAAAGCGCTTTTTACATGTAATGATCAAAAGTGCTGTATTACAATATAACTATAATGTTCAATATGGTAAGCATTACTTAAAAAGAGTAATAAAATGTTGAAATGTTAACTTTAATATGAACTAGGTATTAAAAGCTAGTTTAAAAAGATGAGTCTTAAGACAAGTTTTAAAAACGCTTATTGACGAAATGTCACGAATTTCTTTCGGAAGTTCATTCCAAAGTTTCGGAGCTGCCACAGTGAAAGATCGGTCGCCAAATGACCGTAAAAATTTACCCTTAGGGAACTCTAGCATTATGCTATCATTAGAGCGTAAAAGGTAGTTTCCTTCCACTTTGACAACAAGTAGGTCTACCATGTACTTTGGAGCCATTCCACGTAAAGCTTTGAAAGTAAGCAATAGCAGTTTAAAATGGATCCTGAACTTCACAGGTATAAACCAGTGTAGTTCACGTAATATATAGGTGTAATGTGATCGTATTTTCGTGTTGAAGTCACTAATCTTGCAGCGGCGTTTTGAACTCTCGGCAACTTAATCAATTCAGTATTAGGTAAACCATACAGAAGACCATTACAATAATCTAGTCGACTTGTAACAAAGGCATGTATAACAGTCAACAGATTTTCCCGAGATAAAAACTTGCTGATGCGTTTGATGTTGTGAAGCCAATAGAATGCGGCACCACATGTCTTTGTTATATGACATGACATTGATAAATATGAATCAAGCCAACCTCCTAGATCACGAGCTATTAGGAAGGACATCAGTATTCCCGACACGTACATGGCATGGGTTAAGTTTCTGCAGTTGCTGCTTCGATCCAATTATTAGCAGTTCAGTTTTACCGTCATTTAGTTTCAATTTATCTTGAATCATCCATTTCCGAAGATCGTTGACACACCTTTCCATTACCGAGATCGCTTCACATTGATCGCATGGGTAGTCAGGTTTGAATGACACATACAACTAAGTGTCATCAGCAAAACCATGTGAATTTGGCGATTCTTATTTTTAATATTTTTTTAACAGAAAAGTACATGTTTCCGTTTATAGCTTTGGAAACATTATAGTCCAATAACGGTTGTCGCGAACGACTATGCCGACCAGGGCCGGAGATACGGGGGGTGTGGGGGGGACCCCCCCCCCCAGAAATTTTATTCAGTCGGCAGGACTGCTATTCAGTCGGTAGGACTGCTATTTGGGTTAAACATTTTCGCGCTCGGAATTTTAGAAAAAATTTTTGGACAAATGGAGAAAATTTGTGATGTCTGGAAAATTTGTTTGATGTTCCGAAAAATTTTGATATGTCCGGAAAGATGTTTGGACCCTAAAATGGTACACTGACCGAAATGTTTTTTGGCGACGTGGGGGGGGGGGGGCCAAAAAAAATGTTTTCGGTACTGTTCGGTTGAAATGACCTTACACCCCCCCCCCCCTGAAGAATTCCCTGAGGACGGCCCTGATGCCGACTATTGCATGTAATGCAAACACACTGATAGGCCGTTAGCTGCGTCCTGATATCGTTCAGTTTCATTAAGCATGTCTTGGAACTGAAATATTTTTACGGGAACTAACACTTTCAAGCACGCTGAGTTCGAATCCGAAAACTTCCCGCGCCGTAAACCCGCAGTTTTCTCACAAAATGCTATTTTATCTTCGCTAATTTCACAACAAATTTTTTCATCGTTCAACGACACGGATCGATGACGCCACACGATTATATCACTCAAAACGACCAATTTCTATTAACCAGTCTTCCTTTTAACAAAAGACCGGTTTTGCCCGAATTATTTTGAGTTATGTAATCTTATGCGTGTTGCACGTAAACAACATATCTTGTCTACAACTTTGAGAAGGTACAGATAACGCCTTCTAAAATCCTCAGTTCTAGCGATATTTCTGTAAAATCACAAGGACGTTAATGCTAAGTCTTTTGGCTATATCACTGGCCTGAAAAATAACTAATTCAACGCGATCAAGGTATTTAAAACAAAAGTAATGCGAAGCCAACGTAACGGCAAAGACAACGCTAAAGTGAAATATTGTCGATTGGTTGCTAGTAGAAGACTTACGACAGGATGAATCTTAAATAACCTTAAACTAGGGGAATAAATGTTCATATCAAAGACAAAGACCAGTGCCAAGGTATAAAATCTGCTCTGTAAACTTACGACGAAGTGGAGAAATGTGTACATAAGCTGTTTATTTGGTGATTTCAACGTATTTGGCAGCCCTCTTTCCAATAATATTCGCTTATCGCACAGAATAACACCAACTGATATAATAGTTCAAATGCAATGATAAGTTACCTCTTGAATTACATCTCAGAAACTGTGTTGGAAATGGAAGTGCTGACCCATTCCATAAGATGACCGTTTTACATCGTTGTATAAAACATTTTGATCGCATGTAAGGAATTATTTCTCATCCCAGAGATATAGCCCAACGACTTGACATTGACGTCCTTGTGATTTTATAGAGATACAGCCAGAACTGAGGATTTTACAAAGCGATATCGGTACCTTCCCAAAGTTGTAGACAAGATATGTTGTTTACGTCCAACACGCTTAAAATTACATAACTCAAAATAATTCGAGCAAAACCGGTCTTTTGTTCAATGTAGAGACTGGCTCATAGGAATTAGTCATTTTGAGTTATGCAATCGTGTGTCTTCATCCATCCGTGTCGTTGAACAATGAAAAAATTTGTTGTGAAATTAGCGAAGATAAAATAGCAGTTTGTGAGAAAACTGCGGGTCTACGGTGCGGGAAGTTTTCGGATTTGAACTCAGCGTGTTCGAAAGTGTTAGTTCCCATAAAAATATT